TCACGGCAACGGTTGGGCCTCAGCAGCCGGGTTTCTTTGATACACTCCCTGAAAGAATCGTGGAAGCGGATGGCATGGCCCCTTGGAAGATGACGTTACCTTTCCCAACATTTTTTTTCCCCACTTCCATGTCTCTTGGAGGGGAGGCATTTGTTTCTGTGCCTTTCTGTCTTTTAGCATCCACGGATCACCTACTTTAGCACCAAAAAATGATGTCGTCTTCCTCCCTCCTCCCTCTGCCTTTCTTCCAGGTTCACCTTCAAGGTTGACCAGAAAAGGGCTGTGCGTGGTGGCGTTTCAGACATTTGCGAAAAGCATCTCTTCGGTCACGGACGTCTGGTTGACATTCATCACCACCTGGGTGAGGGTGACCGTGAAGACCTCGCAGGGTGTGAAGAGAATATATCAGGGCTGCGACCCGAGGCATGCGTTCAGCTGTGGTGACAAATGCCTATGGCATCACGTGGCCCTGGAGCCCTTTCATCCTAGGCCTACCATCATGTCTCAATGCATTGAAGCCTTTCTGATGCTGAGACCATTTCAATCCATTTCCTTTCGATTGGTCTATCTGTGAAACATTCTTCCCAGGTGCCAGGGTGAGACGATCCAGGTGCCAGAAGGCCATCAAATCACCCGAACTCGTCAAGCATATTGTGCTCAAGGGCAGAACCAGCTGGTCTCTCCTTCCTTCGCGCCCTCGCGGTCGTCTGGCCCTGGCAGGACGGTACTCGTTCTGCTCATACACAAAGGGTGGAAAGTATGGGCCCGGGTGCTGTGAAGCTTGGCTGTGAAACTAATCCAACACCAATCAGTGGTCCCGTGGGTTTCAACTGAGCCGGTCATAGCCAACCTGTTTTGGACTATAGTGGATTCCATTCTCACTTCGATAGGATGCAAAAAGAAATGTGTTCACAATCATCTCCCATTCACAATGTATAGACAGTTTGGTTCCCCGCCGCCACCCTGCGCCTTCAATTTCTTATCCTTCTTAGTCGTTGTTTTCTTCAAGGCGTTCTCGAACTTCTCCTTCTTGCTCTCGGCCATGAGCTTGGCACGTTGTCGCAAAGGCATCTTGTTGAACTTGTACTTTTCGGCCTTGTCATCACCTGCATGAGCCTGGTACTCCTTGACGGCGTTGAAGAGACGAACCACACCCTGTGTGGCATACTTACGTAGCTGCATCTCAAAGTTCTTCTCCAAAATATTCACAGCTTCATGTCCCTTATCCTTCTCCACCCTGTTCTCCAGCGCTTGCAGTTTCTTCTCCTTAAACTCCGCCTTGCTCTTTTGAAGCTTCTCCTCCACTTCGGTTTCCGCCAGGATGGGCGTCTGTGAGGTCTTCAGCTCACGGCTGAGGATGTTCGTGAAAGCTGTACAAAAGCCCTTCCAACCAGCCTCTTCCAGCTTCCCAACCGTTGATGGAACCACCTGACAGGGGTCCTACAGCTGGGATTCCACTCTTTCGAAACGACCGGGTCCTACGGCCCTACAGCTGGGAAGCTCAGCTTGGAAGGAATCCATGTCGCCGAAACACAAACGACATACACTCCCTGGAACGAACATGCACGTGGGAAGACCATCTGTTTGTAGAGGAACATTGTTCTATTTTTGTTTCGGGGCCATGCCATCCACGTCACCATGGTGACCTGTTCGGAGTGTCGTCTTACGACATGATCGCAAGCACCCACCTCCTCCTCCTTCTCATCCACGTCTTGATCCGACTTCGTGGACTTTGCCGCCACGAACTTCTTCTTCTTCTTGAATTTCATGGCAAGCCATGGGTCTCCGACCAGCTCCGGCCCTTCCTTGGGCCATGGCCTCTCAAACGTACTCCAGGTCAATGTGGGAAGAAAAGAAACCAACCGTCCAATAGGACCGACCAACCTACCAGCCCTGATTAATTCGACCCTACCTTCTTCTCTACCCAGAGTACAGAACCGTCATAGCTGGTTACGTGGTTAGAGCTAAATATACCATAGCTTAATATATACCTACCTTAATATACCATATTAGCTTATACTACCCTCAGGTGAGACGGGACCTTATGGTCGTTTTTGTTGAAAAGGGACATGCAGATGAGACAGGACCTTATAGACAAATAAATTCATGCACATCAACTTTAGCAAATGAGACAGGATGTTACGGCCCTTCACGCGACGGTGTGTCCAGGCATGTCCAGGCCTAAACAATAGTCCAAAAAAAATGAGTCAGGAGCTTGTGGGCATGGACACACTCGCTGCAACAAACAATATAAAATCAGGTCTGTTTGCTTTGGCTTTGCTGCTGAGATAGGACTATATGGTCCCCCAATTCAGATTACACACATGAGATAGCAAAACAAAAATCACATTGCCCAAATATGCACAGAGCACATGAGATAGGAAAATAACATCTCAAGATCGTCCGACTACTCCCATCTCTCTTGGAGTCAGTATATATAGCTTATCTACCTACCTCATCTACAAATATATCGTCATAGCTGCCATAAACCTGACATCGAGACACGACCGTCCGGTCGTCCGGTCGTCCCACACCTCACGTCTCTGTCTAGGCTCGCTGGAGGCCTCATTGGACCCAAGAAAAAAGAACCAAGAAAAACAATATGAGTCAAAATCAATGAGCAGAAATGCTGGCATCCACCAAACCAACGATGGCGCGCAATGCTTGTACTTGCTTGTATTCAATCACTTTCGGGGTCAGCTTTAAGCTCAAGACCAATGCTGCCGCAGTGCCCCACACCTTGGTGGTGAGAATGGCTTCTGATGACGTAGTGAGACGGCGCTTTTTGGAGGAGCCGAGCGCCGATCCCAGAAATGAAAACTCTTCGGTCAGAGGTTCTGAGGAATCGAACCGATGAACTTGAAAGAGATCGTGACGGACCTGGACGAAATGAAAACAGCTTTGGACGCTCCCGCAAGTGGGGTGCCCCAAACAGTGGGGGAAATCTATATAGTTCATCAGAGTTCATCCATACAGTGTTAGGTGAGATGCCAATTCAGGAGCCTTCTATATGATCTATATTACATTATGACATTGGCCTTCATGGCTTCCGGAGGCCTCCACACCATGTGAATCATCAAGAACGACTGAAGTCTCCAACATCCAGCCCATATTGATGTAGGCTCTTGATTAATAACCTTAACCTCCCCCATTTGAATTGTGAAAATCCTCTTCATATGGGGGATGTATTAATCAAGAGTCCACATTATAGTTATATATAGCTATATCATGTTATATCATATGATGGAATGAAAACATGTTGTCCCGGAAGCGCGAGTGAAAAAACAGATCGCTCGCTGCAAGTTCGGCAACGGCACGCCTTCGATGACCAGACCTACCTGGGCGATCATTGACGGTGGCCGGCTGGTTTCGAAAGTTCTCGGCAAGCCACTGCACCTGGCCTTCTACCAGCGCATGGCAAAAGACAACAAAACCAGGTCACTGGCAACCAGGAAATCATGGGTGGGGGACGTGCCGTCTGCACGGACCGACGGACAGACAGACAGAGAGCAGCCAGGCAGCCAGTCAGCCAGACAGCGAGCGAGGAATGAAGTTTCTGCTAGGGTTGTGGTCCTGTTGCCGTGAACAGCGGGCAAGATTCGGTTCCCACATCAAATCACCATGAAGGACCAATCGTGGATCCCATATTTCCCCCTCTCTCTCGCTGAGTCCGCCACGGCCAGCTGATCTATCCGGAGCTCGCCGTTGAACCTCAAGACGCGGGAAGCCTTCAGTCCCGTGCTCGGAAAGCCTTCAAATCAAACGGGGTGGACTCTATTTCCTGTTGGGGAAACGTGCAGCATGCCAACAGAAACAGCAATCAAATCATTGCCTCGGCAGCACTGCAGGTGCATAAGTGATTTTTAATGCTGAAACATGGGACCTACGAATGCAAACCGTGACAAAACCATTCCATAATCACCACGACTAGACTCATCCTTGACATTGTGATTCGTATGCAGGATATCATATAACTATATATAACTGTATAAAATTGTATACAATTGTATAATAGTATAGCGTATACCTATACCTCATACCTTCCTCAAATAGAAAAACAGGAAGAGGCTGGATGTGTCTCGCTGTCGTTGCACACTTTCGCGAAACGTGGATCCAACAAGTTGCTCTCGCTCCGAGCGCCCCAGCGTTCGATTGGCCGCATCGTCGTTCTCTACTTCGTCTCCATCCTCCAAGGTGATGAGTGGAAAGCACGCGGAGTTTCGCACAAAGTCCTTCTTCAGTGAATATGTCGTTTCTGTTCGTGTTTCTGCAGTTTCCAGGTGTCGAAAGGGAAAAAAGGAGAAGGAACAAGCGGAGTGGATCCTTCGAAGCAAGATCTATCAAGACCCTATTGTCTGCGTTCCTCTCCCTTTAGAGAATGAAAAAGCTCCAGATAATAGCCATGGGCCATACCTGTGAGGCCTACAGGCCACTGCACCGTCCCAGCTCAGCCATGCTTTGACCGGTCGCATCGACCGGTGAACCGTCGCACCTGAAGAGAGGTCGACGCCTGGGCTCGGCGAGACAAACGTCGACGTCACCCGGTGTCGACCATTCACTCGGTGTCCCGAACGCGTAAGGTGAGCCCCGGTGACACGGTGACCTGGCAGGACAACATCTGTCCAGAGCCGTCGCGCGGGCGGAAGGGAAGCCGTTCCAGCAGTGGAAGTCTTGCATCGCCTTCGCACTACACAATAGCCTTCCTTTGACAACCGCTTCCACTGCAGGTAGCCAAACTGTCAGAGATACCACTGCCACGCGGTTGCGAAGCACCACAGACACGGCCGCACTGACCTAGGTCAGTCGGCACGACACGGTCGTCATCGGCGAAAAAACATCAAGGCCCGCGCTCGAAGGGTGGATTTCCTGGCGAACGAAGAATCACTTGAGCTCGGTCATTTAGAAGGATGGAATCGAAGCATTTGGCATGGTCCCAAATGTTGGTTCACCAACCGACAGAAACCAGTTGCACCATGTCTGCTCAAATCAAATCCGGTTTTTCACCACGCGGTTCGCGAGACACTCGTCATGGGACGGCATCGTCTGGTGGTGCCGACCCGGGCCGTCCTCGTCTTCTGAGTTGCCTGGGCATGGAAAGGAACACCCAAAGGTAGCTGATTTGCCAAAAACAGGCAACCTTTCAAGCCAGAGGAGCGAAATGGAGCGAAATTCGTCGGCACTCAGACAATCTCACTTGTTACATATAGACACTGAGCGAAGTTCAACAAGGTGACTTGAGGTGTATGGGTTTACTGGGTTTACAAGCACTCTCTAGCCCAATCGCAAGGACATGCAAGAACCATAGTCGTTGCAACAAGCTTACATGACCAGTTGAAACCCTCGTCGGGTCCCCTCTTCCCAGATCAGTTCCCAGGAATGACTCCTCGAGACATGAGTGTCATATTTCCCCACTCAGTCTGAGCCAGCAACTGTTGAGCCAGATCCACCGGACCTCAGCACGCTCACAGGTGCCTGGCCCAGCCATGACCCACGAGTCGCATGGCTTCATCTATCACGGCTGTGGCTCAAGGCCCAAGAAGCCCTGTTTGGGTGAAGCATCATGGAATGAATGAGTGTGATCCTGGCATATCCTGGCATCATCCCCACCAAGACAAATGTTCCAACAAACAGACTTCTAGAGGCAAATCGATTCCAGCTTTGTGGGGATCAATATGATCAATGACGGCCTATCATCCCTGAGGCCGGCACCACAAAGGAACTCGGTTAGCACCGCTCCGATGTAAATCCACCAAGACTGTGGCCTAGGGATTTGAAGGAGTTACTGTAGATCATTGTAGATCATGAAACCTTTCTTCTCAATTCTGATGGGCATCGCTGAAGTGACGCTGCGAGTGTTTGATATGTTTGGGGTGCTTGCTTGCTTAAACTAGAGCCTTTTCCGTGTTTCCAATGATTTCTGGGTCCTGGACCGACTGTGCAGCGTCTGTGGCATGCTGCACTGTGAGGCGAAGCCTCCCAAATATCGGCGAACCAAGGACCCCAACGCAGGAACCCGGCACCACAGCAACATGCACAAATTCTTCACCTAAAGCCATCATGGCTATTCATGTTTTTTCATTGTTCCTAATTGTTCTTCACACTTGAGCCGGACATTCTGGGGGCAATTCACATCCAGCCTTGGAACACCACGAGGAGGTGGACCTCCATTCAGGGACACAAACGATCCGATCTTCCCACAAAAAAAATCACAAGACCCAGCCTCGTCCAGCAAAGGGCGATTGCTCTCCGTAGGCCTCAAAACCCAGAAACAACAAACAATATATAACGGACCCACTGCAGGTGGCGTGCACTGCAGGTGCGATTCTCCACATCTTTGACCGATTCGGTAGATCGCTAGCCCCCGTGAAAACACACAACTCACGTCCCTCGATGGGGCTTGTTCATCTGGGGCCACTCAACACCCCACAGCCAAATTTGGATACAGAAACAGTTCCGCGCCCTGCAGCTGCCAGCTGCCATCTGCGGGCAAGTGACGACCTCGAAGCCATAGAGGCTATCCTGAAAAGCTCCCATCAAGCTGATGTAGACTCTTGATTCCTAAAACCCCCGATGTGAAGAGGTTATATAATGGGACTGGGTGGCTTTGAATTTACAGTCCACATTAATCCGGTGACAGCAACCTCGGAGAAGCAAAGGTGAAAGCTCAGAAACTGATTTTTGGAGGAGGACGCAGGACTCAATCCCACCCTCTGGCGCCTCACCAGAGCCTTCCATTGAGCCCCGCAAGCGCACCTCAACCCGGACAACTCAACAAATTCGAGGTTTCAGGAATACCTGCCTGGCCTGGGTGAGAACACCAAGCTAGTGAGAATTGCTAGGTCTAAGAGTACTTAAAAAGGAGTCTAAGGTTTGCATCTCGCCGGCAATGAGGTCAAACGTGTCTCAGCTCTGAAGACTGGACCAACTTCTGCCCCTGCCAAACGCTTGCTACATCAGCACCCCAAGAATAAGCTTGCTACGTCAGCATGCTTGTTCACGAGCATGTGGCAAAAGCTGCTGTCTTTCACAGTGACCTGGGGGAGTTGAGCAGCTCTTTCACGATGATTGCGGCTGTGTTGTGGCGCCAAGTGAGGGGACATAGGTGAGCGACAATTCAACTAGCATGGTGAGCAAAAGCTGCTTAGCCCATGAGATGGTTTTGGTTCTGATCCGTGGGCACGGTTGATTGTTTTGAGATGGTTCGAAGCTCCAAGGCCAATGAATGTAGAGGAGACGGCTTGAAGAATCGATAGACACAATGGCACTAATCGCTGGAGAGGCTGTCAGTTAAAACATGTCAAAACCATGTGTGCAAGCCTGGGTGACGCTCGTCCACCGCAAGAGCAACCGACAACCACCTTTCTACGCTACACAACAGTGGGTCGCAAAGACATGGGTCAAGGCCATGCCTTTGGGCCAGCTTTGCTAGTAAAGTTGCGGATGCCCAAACATAGTCTGATCGGATGAATATGTCTGGATGCCCCCTGTCCGCCAGGCACTGCATGAAGCCCCTTGCAGCAACCCGCCGCCAAGTCTGTAATGGCATGTAGCCCAAGCACAAGGCTTGGTGGATGTGGCCAGCATTCAGCTGCCTCTTGGCTGCCATGATGCTGCTGTAGTCGATTCCAAGTCCTTGTAAGTCATCAAGGACACTGCCTCCAAAGTTGCCGGCACTTTCTAGGAAAGCTCTCCAACGCTGCTTGAAATCTGAGCGGAACTGGACGAATGCCAAGTGCTCAAGGCTCTCCTCAACAAGAATCACCCATGACTCTGTAAACACATTCGGAAAAAGGGGCAGGCCCCTGTCCACGCACATACGATTCAAGGTCGCACACTTCCTGAGGAAGTGTTGCGAATGGGGGTTCCCCAGCTGATCGGCACCCACCCAGGCGGAGTCGTGCCACACATGCACCAGCTCATGGAAAAGCACGGAGGCCATTCGGGCGCTGGTCCAAGATCTGCACTCCTCCCACTCAAACTCTATCCAAAGCACAGCAGAGGTATAGTCACTGGAGAAGGCGATATTCATGGATGCTTCTGCATCTTTGGAAGGGTAAGAAGACTGCACAATCCGAAAATCGTCCACCTCCAAAAGCCTCTCGAAAAAGGTGGCATTCAAAAAGAAATAGGTCTTCCACAGAAAGTCGGTCACCTCCGAACCTTGCAAGTGCTCCATTCGAAGGCCTGGGACTTTGAGAAGGGAAGGGAGCTCGGGGAGCTCTGTCAGGTCGAAATCCGCCCGGCTTCGGCTCTGAATTCGGCTTCGGCTCTTCTCCCACTGCTCGCGGCAACGTTCAAAGTCCTCTTCCAGCCAAAGGCCCCAAAACCACGAGAGGCGGTCGTTCCGCAAGAGACAGAGGTCTCGCCAGGAAGTGTTGCCCAAAGCTCGACCTCTGGGCACCAAGCAACGCTTCCCAGCCTTCAGAAGAATTGCAGCAACCACGACGCCAAGAAAGGCCCCTGAAGTTCGACAGGCCGGGACCTGAAGCAAAGTTCGGACCTGAAGCACTCGGCTGAGAGGTCCACATTGCCTTGTGTGAGGAAAACAGCCATCAAGGATTGCAAGGTGCATTGATGTGCATTGACTCAGAACGGCTTTTCAAGCTTGAGATTTGAGGATCTGGAGCGGGAAACAGGTTGAGCTTGTGTGCCAGTGGGGTACAGTTTCACTGATGCAGCTTCTCTAGGGCTTTTGCTGAATTGCGGTGTTGGTCATTGATGGTGGTTTGGTGAGATCTTCAGGATCAACTTCGGCCAAGCTACCTACACCTGCTGGCGTGGGCCCTCCCCATGTCAGGGCGAGTTGGGAATCTTGCAAGCCTAGTGCCAGGCATATACATCAAAAACAACCCAACCACAAAGGACATAAAAGCCCGGCAACACCAAGAGTCAACACGAGCATTTTCTGTGTTCTCAAAGAATTCGTCCATATCATATCCATATACTGGGGGACCACCCTGTATGACCTGGATCTTCAAAGAACAACTGGAGGACTTACATCCCAAAAACTCCAAATGGAACCTGAAAATCGATCGGCGATCCCCTCAAACGGCCTTCCTGAAACCAAAGCCATCGCAAGGAACGTCCTCGCCTTTGTCTACGTCCTGCGGCGGTTTCAAGTCGGCCATGTCTCTATTTTGAGCTGCTTCGCAGCAAATAGAAGCCGAAAAGGACACAAACTCTGCCTGTCTGAAGATGTAACCTGTCTGCGAAGGAAGTCACTCAACTCACAGCATCTCGTAGCCACTCGGCATCACTAGGCCATGTCATCAACATCCTTCGGGTTCGGGGGGATGCGAGGATCCTCCACTGAGTGCGGCAAAGGTGATCCATCCTGGTGATCCTCGTCCAGCTGATCGTGCTTGACCCTGTTGGGCCTTTCGGGCATCACTTCCTGTTGAGGCGCGTTGTTCGGGGCCTCCACTGGCTCTGCTGCTTTGTCTGGCGGCTCGGAGGTGGGTACGTAGTTCAGAACATGGTACCTGCGGGCAACCAGGTTGCGTGTGATGCTCTGGTTGAGCCAAAGGCCATAGAACACATTGGCCAGCACACTCCAAAAAAGAACCAGCAAACCAAGAACAACAAGGGCCAGTGCCACGACGATAAAGATCGCCAGAGCCACTGCACCGCAGTCTCCGGCACCATCGCCACAGCCACAGCCACCACCCCAGCAACCTTTGCAGTCACAGCATTGGGTACACTCTCCATCACAGCTTGCACAGCCAAACTCACAGGGAGAGCAATAGCAATTCGGGCCATTCAGGTAGCACCACGCATAGCAGGAGGTCTCCCAAACGTCTGAGTAGCAGCAGTCTCTACAACAGTCGTTGCTCCTCCGCCGCTTCCCTCGGGCCGTCTGCGACCACTCGCCTTCACGGCGCGCGTCGCTGGTCCGCCTTCGGAACCGCCCAGTGGCCAATCCGACGATAAGGTAAATGGTGGTGGCAAGGCCAATGGCAAAGCCTGGCTTGGGGTAAACAGGCCAAGAATCTTATTGGAACACCCGAAAAACGATATCAATCAAATTCAACAAGCACATGTTGGCCGATCTTTCCGAGCCCAAGAGCAGTTGAAGCAGACACCCATGAAGAGAAAGCCACGAGCCGTCTCAGGCTTCAAGAAAGTCACCTTTCCCCAGTAGACCTCATCCACAATGCCGGTGGCCCGAATTACCTCAGGGTGCTGGAAATCTGGGTTCTCTAGATAGATATGCCACACCACGCAAATCTGCCGCTGCAGCTCTGCAAACACTACTGCAGTCACTCCCCGCCTGCCCTACGGTCAGTGCGATCGCGAAAAAGGCAAAGATTTGAAGAAAAGCCAAGCCGTACACAATCCTCAGACATGGTGCTGAGCGGTTACCCCCAAAATGGGGCTGACAGGGTTTGGGGTAGGGAGCAATCTGAACAGTGGAAACATCAAACATGCCACAGGCAAGTGGCAAATGAACCTTCCAAGGCATAGTTTCTGCCGCAAGCCGGTAGTGATATTGACACACCTCACAGCGAGTCAAGTTTGCTGGGTTCATGCCAGCAGTTCTCCAGGTATCCAAACAATGGCGATGGACTGGAGCTTGGCATTTGCAAGGACGGAACAACTCTGACCGCTTCACGGCATCCTCTGCCTCCAAGCAAATTCGGCAAATATCACCCGCCAGTGTAGGGTCGCTGTGGGTCTTCGTGACGAAGAGCGTCATCGGACCAGGATGACGACTCTCATTCTCTCATTCGGCCGGAGCTTCAGCCAACGCTGTGCGACGCGAGTGAACTCATTCAAGATCTTGGCATGAGTTAAATTACGGCTACACAAAGGAAGAGACATGTGGCATGTGGAAGAAATTTCCAAAGCTGAGCCTTGTGTGTTAGATGTATATGGATGTATATGGTTGTTTGCAAGGGATTACCATAGTTTACCGTTTACCTTCTCAAACTCAAAGCCCTGCCAGTGCTGTTGCGTTCTCTCGCTCGTACCATGCCTTTTCTCCTTTCTCGCCTTACCCAGCGCAAGATTGCAACCAGAACCTGGCGCTCAGCATGGGAGCTGCGATCGTGGTCGACGAACACTGGGATCAGTCCGCTTTTCTCAAAACTTCCCACATTTCCAACCGCATGCAAATTCTGATCCAGGCATTCTGACCCGTGAGGAACTTCAGGCATTTGCAGTCTCTGCGCCGCTCCGGACCCCATCCAGCGGGCGACCGCTTCCGCTGGAAGCTCCTGGCTCTCCATGGAGCGCCGCGCTTCCGCGCGGAAGGCCGGCAACCAGGGTCCATCCGGAGACAGCTTCAACTCCTTGAGAGCTTCATGTGTCAACGACTCACCAAGGCTGTACAGGTGCAATCTCTGCAACACGCAGGGGGTTCCCGCAGCGCGAAGAGGGCGAAGGCCAAGTAGTTCCTGCAGGGCCTGCAGGTGTGAGAAACCCACCACACGCATGAATAAGCAATTGCTCAAGCTTCCGAGCTGATCATGTTCCGAGAGCATGTCCAATGCTGAGACTCCGTGCCTGAGACCGGAAGAAGCCTTCAAACCCTTCTCCAAAGCAGGCAAAACGGAGCCCAGAAAGCAAACAGTCTGCTTGGAGGCACCAGATTCTTTTAAAATCGAAGTCGCTTCAACCAATGTCACAACATCAGCGGTGGGACTGCTGGAGCGGCTCTGTATCCAAGCCATGTGGTCTAGCATGCGCTTCCAGGTGGGATGCCAAAGCTTCAGGGAGGAAACCATAGAGTTCATGGTGGTGACATCCGGCTCAATACCTTCAAGAGCCGCTTCCTCCAGCAAGGCCAGCGATTGGACCCAGTGCCTCACCTTAGCACAAGCATCGGTGGCCGAGTTCATGATGGTAATGGTGGCAACGCGGCCTAGCTTCAAACACCGAGCCCACTGAGAGGCACTGGAGCAAGAAGCCATGGTGGCACCGGTGGCCACCAAATCTGCATGGGTCGGCCAGGATTGATAGGTGTGAAGCGCATCCTGCAGCGCGGATGTTAGAGGAAAAGACGAAGTGTCTGCTGGAAGAGTGCCTGTGAACAATCCAACGTAATTGTATTAATTGTATCATCTTTTTTGATGCAACATGGCAGGATAATAAAAGAAAACTTACGCTTCATCACCCTTCCTGCCACAAATCTGCACGGTCACAAAGGCTTAGCACCACTCCAAGCAGGGCAACATCTTTCTCCAGATTCCGCCCCTCCAGCGCTTTCCACAGCTCCAGTGCTTCATCCCTCCGAGCTGCTGCCCGCAAAGCAGCCAAAGTGTGGCCTCGGGTGGGCCCGAGCGGAAAGCAAAGGACTGACAACTGAGGAACACCTTGACTCACATCCTCTACTAATTCTGTCCAAAAACAAGAATTGAAAAAAAAAGGCACCGTTTGCAACACTGCCCAGGTGGCCCACCACTGATGCTGTCATGATCCCATCTCTTTCCAGGAAGCTGAAAAGTCCCAGTGCCATCACCCACTCTCGGGAGAGCTGAAGCCAGCGAAAGCTTCCAGCGAAAAGCGACCGGTTTTCGACGCCCGCCGACCGGTACAATGCGAGTGGGCCATCTCTGATGCTATGAAGCCCTTGAGTCCATGGCTGCACATCCAGAAACAAGGCCAAGTTCCCCAAATCCTGCAAGTGGCTAGAGGTTCAACAGTTTAGGAGTGAACAAAAAAAACTTCGGAGAAGATGGTGCAAAGCCAACACTTCTGCATCCCAGAGTCCAACTCCAGTCCCTCTTGCAGTGCAGATCTCACCATTCCAACAGCCAGTGCCCACCGGCTCCGCCCATCGTCGCCGCTCATCGTCGTGAGGATGCCGCGATGCACAGTACCATCCAACTGAAGCACAACCTGCGGCCAGTGCCCAGTGAGGCTCTGGATGTTCGGGCTGGAAGCGCCGAACCGCTGGGCGAGTGGTCTTCTACTGTAAATAGCAAGTGGTGCCAGGAGAGCGGGGGCGGTGACAGATTTCTGCGAGTGGTTGGTGTTTTCAGAAGTGTAGGACCATGAGAAACATGCATGAACATGCTAAGGTTGGTGAAACTCTCAACATGTCTGGAAGAATACAAACCAAGGATCTCCAGGAGCACTAGATTTTCCATCCTGGAATGGCCTAGGTTTCGGTTCCTCTCACAAAATCACGAGGATTTGGGACTGTCCCTGGGAACCCGACTGGTCACCAACATATCATCCATGTTCAAAGCGGCCTGCCGCAGTTCATGTGCAATAGCACATGCCTGCAGCCACTGCTTCGAGGCACCCAGGCCCTCCAACATCACGCTGAAGGTGAAAACGTCGGGCTTCAGCCATATCACATGCCCAGCTAACACACGGCCCCAAACTCCTGATCCTCTCCAAGCACTCAATCCGGCATTGACGAGCACCCCATCGATTTCAAGCCCCTCCTCCGGGCGAAACAGTACCTTCTTGGGAGAAAAACATGAGAAACATTGGAAACGCGCTAGTGGTATCCCTTCTGCATTCGGAAATGGGGCACCACGGCAAACGAATCAGGCTAGCACTTCGCAGCCACCCTGTCCTCAAGGGATGTTGAGAAGCACTGCAGGGCGCTTCTCCAAGCAGTTGCTCTTTGAGCAGCGCTGGCTGCAGCAGAAGCCACATCTGGAGTTGGCCGAGTGACTTGGTCAACGGCGCAACGCCAAAGTTCTTGGCGCCCATAGGCTGTCACCAGCAAAACTGTGGCTGCTGCTGGTATTCGGGTGATACCTCTTCTGGACATGTGTGTATATATATATATATAGTGTTTCGAACCTTCCGGGGAATGATGGGGAAGCAAACGACTAGATAGAGTTCTCAAAAGCGTGTATATACACGCTATATAAAATGACAATGAGTATAGCTATGTATGTGCTTAAGTTCACCTTGCTGCAACAATTTATCAAATTCTCAGGAGCCAAGACACCAAGCCTCGTGAGCTGCACATCCTGCAGGAAGGCCGCGGAAGTTTGCCAGGCACTAGATCGGCCCCAAAATCCTCACCGAGTAGCACGCGGCCGACCTAGCTCTCCCTATATATGTATAATATATGTATATATAGTTATATATATGTTTTGTATGCATGACATGGAGAGGATATGTTTTAAAAAAAACCATCTCCAAGCAAGGTCTGGATCCACCCAAGTCATTTTGGGGGGGGTCCAAGAATCCAGGTGCGCCACCTGGCCACCTTCCAGCATCTTCCAGCTGAGGCTCTGGACAAGATCTTGAAGGTGATCGCATCGCGAGCCGTTGCCTCCCGCCCGTCCGCGAGCAGAGCGATGGCAGCATCCCAGTCGCAGTCCCTTAAAGCCGCTGACATGTATGCATTGCCTCGGAAAGGCGTTTTTTTGAACCGGGGGAGATCTGTTCAAAGGGCCTTCGGAACGCGCAAACCAAAATACCACGAAAGGCCCCATCGAAAGGTCGGGTCCGCATCTGAACGGGCCAATGGCCGGCTCCATCTGAAGCACCCAAACAAATCATGAAAAATGGTAGAGAAAAAGGAGAAAAACAAAAGTAAGAAAGAAAAGAACAAATGGAAAAGGAACTCCTCCACTCCTTGGCAAGGGGCGGAACTCCTTGCTTGGATGCTGAGATGAACCTTGGTGATATGACTCCAGACAAGCTCTGGCCAGCCACCACTGTCCCTTGCTTGCACCGAAGAGGGCCTGAATCAACAACAGCGCGAGTCGGAGGTCGCTCACTGAATGATTCATGTCACTATTGTCACTATACACATCGACATACGATGCAGCAGTGGCAGTGCTGCTCAAATAGGACAGAAGATGTGAATCCTCTTTGGAGGAGGCTTCAAACACTGCATGTTTTCTAGGTGTTTCTTCATTTAGGAGGGACGAATCTATCCACTTGTTGCCTAGGTGCCGTGTAGGTGAAGGTATCAAGCTGCAAGTGATGTGCCATCAAAAGATTCAGCGCTGATCTCCACCTCCAGCCTGGGTGGCAAAAGCCCGATGTCACACCCAAAAAATTAAACGATCAAAGGGTGACGACGGGGGGTGTCAAGTTACTAAGTTGCAGTAATGTCTTGGCAGCCCTAGCTGGTCCGAAGACCATTTACAAAAGAATGAGGAGAGAAAAGTAACTGCACAAAAAATTGTTCGATTCATCTATAATGGCACGGTGTTGTCCATAGGCGCTTAAGCAGGTGTTCAGACTGATGGTGTCCACTGTGATGCCTTTGGTGGCTGTGGATGCAAAGAGCCAAAGACACGACTCCCAGAGATGTCCCTGGCGACACGCTGACATCGCTGCATTCAAGGTAAATGTGTTGGGCCGAAGTGACCGATCTGACATCTTCCACCAAATGGATAACCTCGGTTTTCCCGAGGAATACGGCCGACTGTGGGCGAACACGAACACGGGTATGTGCATCCGGCTCTAGGGTGTCTGTGCCCATCATCACAATGATGCAAGAACCGTGTATGTATAGTATATATATATATAAATACATATTTATTTATATATACGTATAATATATCCGCCGACCCCGGCCTATAGCCAAAGCCTAGGCGGGGAGGCGCCTGGGACACCGCAGGGTGAAGCAGTTGGCCAAGCCTAGCAGAACCCTTCAAGCACTTCCAAAGGCGCAGGATGCAGCAGTTGGCCAAGCCTAGCAGAACCCTTCCAAGCACTTCCAAAGGCCTGTCCGAGGCCTCACCAGCTGGCCGGCCTGTTGCGGCCTCTCTGTGGCCTGTCCGAAGCCTGCCTCCTCTCTTCTTA